AAGGAAAGTGTATATGTTTAGCTTAGTTTGTAACTAGATGTCGCTGTATGAATTATTTAGGTATATATATTATATATTATTATTAATGTTTCTATTAGTATCTGTATATCCATCTCTCTCTGTATGTGTCTAAAACCATATGTGTCTATACCAGTAACATAGTTAAAAAGGAAATAAATTTGTACAAGAAATAATATTACGTAAAGATTTGATTCGTATCAATATCTATTATAAAAATGAGAATTACACATTTATTGCAAAATGCCAATTGGCTCGTAAGAGATGTCAGAATGTGTCATACATTGCATGCAAAGATTTGATATTAACATCATTAGAATAATGCAATTTGGTGTGGAAATACCTTCTTCCATATAGGAATGATATCGGTTTCAAATAAAATATATATGTAATTGAATAGTTATCAAATGTTTTCTAACTATTCGAATATATATGTTGCAAAACGCCCATCAGTAAAAAAATAAAATTCATTGTACCACCCACGCATAATCGATGCAGTACGTATATTTATAGGTGTTTAATAATAATAATAATATCAGGACAATTCACACAGCATTGCGCTAGACTCAAGTTCGGCTTAACTTGAGTCTACCCATAACACAAACTTTAGCTGGCTAGCTAAAGCTTGTGTTATGGGTACAAGATAACTGATACAATTACATAGATTTTTTGTAAATATATACATAATATACATAGAAACATCCAGACCGGTACAAATAATCATATTCATGAATACAAATGTTTGTGCCATGCGAGGAATCGAACCCGCGACCATCGGAAGTACGTCGGTGTGCTAAATCGCTACACCACCGAGGCCGTCAATATGTAATTGAATAGTCATCAAATCTTTTCTAGCAGTTCCAATATATATGTTACAAAACAGCCATCAGTAAAAAAATAAAATTCATTGTACTACCCACGCATAATCGACGTAGTATATTTATAGGTTTGTTATTAAGTAACGAATTGAAATTGATTCATAAAATGTCTATTAATCTATATATTATAATGCTAATGTGAGTGTAATATGCTTCTATATTAGTTTGCGCAAAAATGACATGGATACGATCGTTTTAAAATCTCATTAGTATTTACTAGCGATTCAGCCTAGTTTCGCGCGTGTTATTAGTAATAATCCATTTGGATAGTATATCACAACCGTGGTAATTTATGCCCTATGCGTTATTCTGATGTTTAAGTTATATTATTGTAAAGTTTGATTAAAATATAATCAGTAGTTTTTGTATGAAAGAGTAAGAAACATGTTATCCATCCATACTCACAATCTTTCGTTTTTATAACATTAGTAAAAAGTAAGCTGGTAAAGAATAGAGCCAACAAGGCACCAGAGGAGGTTCTTTCTAACCTCCTCTGGTGCCTTGGTGTAATTCCGTAATTACTTATTAATTATTCAGAGTCAAAATGCATAAGACTTCGATCTTCTTTATTTAGTCGGTAAGGTTTGAATACCTAATGATAACGACTACTCTTACTCGATGATAACAATAAACCAACTTATTTATATGGTAACAATGAATAGATTGGAGATGCTCTACAACCAAATTAAGGTCTAAACAACAGATAGAATTTATTCATTTCATTAACAACGTACATTCTGTCGAAATTAATACAATTTATAAAACAAAATCCAATTTGAGAGTTTGTTCTCAATAATTCATCGATTCAGTATATTTCTTAATAGAAATTCCTTTAATTCTCGTTTGAAGCCCTGTCCATATAATAAACTTTTATATAGAAGATATAGCTGAAGGTAATTTATGAAATATTTTAATTGATTGGTGCTCAGGTGTGCATACTATTATATTGAAAATAAGTACTTCGTGTGTTTTTAAGTATTTCCTTCTCATATTTTCTCTACAAAGTCTATCATCCTCTGATTTATACTTATGTTTAATTATTAAGGTTTCTTATGAGTCAGCAATGACCCCACCTGGTTTTTCAGACGCCCATAGGCCACGGTAACCGTTTACTATCAAATAGGGGGTATGCTTGTTTGCTTACCTACGTAGTATAAAAAATATATATATTTGGCTAAATTTATCAATGTACCTTTGCCTAATTTAATTTTACATACATATTGTGATAAACAGTTACATGACCGATGTCTTCATACGTCTTATAAATAAGGTATTATTATTATTATTATAATATTATCCAACTTTATAAATAATCGAGAGCACGTTTATAATAGATATTGTATCAAATATTTTATATGCCAATACCATATACGATTTAAGATGTTTACTTTGTTATATTTATTTGAATTAATCACCACTTGCAGTAGAGTTATTGACGTCAGTTTATATGATATGTAAACTGCAATATGACAGATGATGGACATTTCATGATACGAAACCGAATTTGTATGACTAATCAAAACAATAATATTTTTATGACGTCACTTATTTTAATACTTGACCCCACTATAAATGTGGCAACATTAACTTAACTTTATAGTGGAAGTGCCAATCTCATAAAATATCTATATATAATTTTGTATACTACGAGTATGATTGACGATTTTTGTAGTGCAGTGGTTTTGAATACAGTCTCGTCTTTCGATGTTATATCATTTGATGTCATATAACATATGTATATATTATTATACATGATGTGACATTTTTTTTGTGGATGATAATGAAATGGTGCACCCGCATGCGCTAACGGTTTACGCTGGCGGGGCACCAGTGGCGGACTAGGAATTTATCATAATCGTTTCCAGGAGGAACCGCGTGGAGGTCGACTTAACATGGTACATTGCTAGCAATGGGGACTACTAGTTCCCATTACTAACAATCTCCTTCCCCCCTGACGTGTCATTAAAACTTGAACTTACTTATCGCAGAAAGAAATCAACAAAATTAGTTAATATCAATGATCTCAGTATAATACATACAGCATCATCTAGACCCAAGTTAAGCTAGATAGCTTATCGATCGCAGGTTCGATTCCTCGCACAGCACAAACATTTATAATCATAGTCATGAATATAAATATTTGTGCTGTGCAAGGAATCGATCCTGCGACCATCGGAAGTATGGCGGTGTACTAAACCACTAGACCACCGAGGCCGTCGTTAGAATATTATATTATATATTTTTTAGATTAGATGGAATGTAATAAACATTAGATTGATAATATTACAATTATGAAGGCTTGAAGACTTTACGTACTTATAGCTTCTTTGTATAGCCTTGTCGAATAGAAAAATTGGCTAAAAAGAGCGATTACAATTACGTTAATTAGAAAAGTAAACGCTTGCTATTTGCGCTTGATGTTTCAAATTAGTTTATAATAAAAACGCCCACAAAATAATTATAAACAATAAAAATACATTGAACCAAATAAGTGTGGGCGAAGAGTCTATTAGAATCTATAACTTTAAGAACAGTCCGTTTCGTTATTAAAAGTTCTTGCAACACTAAATGCTTTCAAGTCAGTCTGGCCGATGACTTGAGAAGCGTGCAAATCGGTGATTTCAATTTACCGCCAACAAATTATACACGTAACATGACAGAGAAATGGTGCCTAATTAGCAACACTGCAAGTAACGACGCGGTATCTGTTATATTTTTAAAGGTTACACAAATGAAAGGTATCAAAGAATAACGCCATGTCCATAAACCATGTCGTGACGTGAAATTTAAAAACAAAAGGTGATTTAATTTCACAATATGGGCTGTTGTATAAACAGTTTTTGTGGTCAATTAAGTTTTCGTATCCATATGAATCAGTTTAGAATAATGTTAAAATAGAAACATAGGTTTTTGCCAAATAGTAAGTTAATGTTCTTTGTAATTTTATAAAGTAAATCTAGTTGATGTAATATAGTAATTTTTAGATAGATTGGCCAGTATATTCCGTTGTTATTATGGTTATGTATATTATATCTTTTTTATATACGACGGTCTCGGTGGTCTAGTGGTTTAGCACACCGCCTTATTTCCGATGGTCGAGGGTTCGATTCCTCGCATGGCACAAATATTTTATATTCCTGAGTATGAATGTTTGTATCGATATAATAAAAGTATATCTATGTATTTGTATCAATTACCTTGTATACAAGATTTAGCTTAACTTGCATCTAGATGGCGCTGTGTGAATTTTCTAGAGATTATTATTATTATGATTATATGTATTGGTATGAGTTTGTTTATACACTTGTATTAATTTTTTTTGTACAAAAAAACTTGTTAATAAATTGTTATGGGAATTTTACAGCTTTCGCGATTTCAGTATTTTGCCTTTTAAAGGCAAAACAATATGATGAACTATTAATCATTTTGAATTGCTATGGCACACGCATAAATTAGTCACTCACTTTATTTTATGTTTTGTTTTGGTGTCATGTGTATGCTGAAGATATACATAAATCGTTTATTCATCTAAAAATAGTAACCGTAGTTTGTGTAAACGAACAAAAGATTTATGTTTCTTGCTTTTGAAATATATATACATGTACATATGTATACATTTTAAGTAACGTTCATATTAAGGCATTGCATGTAAAAGTCATATTACGAACAATCTAACTTTTGATTAAAGTAATAATAGATGGGTATTTGATTACAGGTATTGTATATAACGTAGTATCTAGCAGATTAACTTGTACATTTGATGATGACTTCATTACAATGAAATTTATTCAGAGTTCAAAACCACTTCTTTAAACTAATATAAATAAATAACGTATTAATGTAACCGCATCTAATCCACCACGAAATCGTCTGAATCCCAACCGCATAGATTACGAGTAAAAGTAAGCACTTCAACTTGAAGGTACTTACTGCGTGTAACCGGTTTCGTAATAGGCTTTAGTCTATTTTTTGCCATTCACCTGTTTGCGGCATGTTGGCGGTCGGCACGCCTCTTCGCGCCATAACTTTAGCCATATGGTATGGCCAGGCACGCGCTGCGTACGATCACCCTGCCACAACTAACTCGTTCGCTTTTACTTTCAGGTGGCACCAGTTTTCCTACTTGCACTCATCGTGGCTGCTGAGAAGAAAATCGAACTGGAAGACATTGAGGAAGATAATTTGAAAAGTGAAAAGGAAGTTAATATAGAAAAGTCAGAGGCCAGATCGGAAAATCCGAGTTCGTCTTCTGGTAATGGATTGCTTCCTTTCGAGTTTTTGAAGAACGGATTCCTGCGTTACTTTGAGAGTCCTACGCATGCGCAGGCTCCGCAACAGCAGCGCTACGTTCAGCAGTACGCTGTGAGTGAAGCTCCTGAACGGGCTTCGGATGTTGCGCCTAAAGTACAATATGGTCCGCCAGCAACCCAGCAAGCGATGGTTGGCTACTTATCGAATGTTCCAATGCAGATTTATTTAGTCCCACAATATTACAACGAGCAACAAGAGCAAGGGCCTAATGCACAACCTGCAGTACAATACGTCAAGCCAGACGTAACTAAAGTCGCGGCATACCCCACTGCACCTGAAGCAGTACAAACGCAAACGAATTTTGTAGAAATCCCAACATATGTTACTCCAGCAGCAAAAACCTATGTTCAGCATTATTCACCCCCAGTAACATACGTACAATACACTGCGCAACCGACTGTTGCCACTCATGCTACAGTTGCTCCTGTAGTAGCTTATCAGCCTGTTGTGCAGTATCCTACAGCAATAGCAGCTCCGCCTGTGGTAACGAAAGGTTACTATGAAAATGTACAATATTCAGATGGTAATACACTAGAAGATATACAAGAGACAGGTGAAGAATCACAAAAGCAGTACTCCCCACAATCTGACGTAACATACACGAAGTCTCCTAATTATCCTAGATATTATAATTCACATGCCCCTGTTAGACAGGAGTATGGACATAGTCCTGTGCCAGAATTACCACCTCCAAGTCCTTTATTAATCAAAGCACCACCGCCGCATTTAGCTCACATACCTAAAGCTCTGCCTATATTTAGTAAACCATTGATAAAAACAGGATACCCGTCTGGAAGCGGTCACGGGTATACCCAAAGACCTTTCGAAGGATATGTACAACATTATAAAAGGCGACCAACTTCTTTACTCGATTCTTATATACCCTCTAGTATTCAAATTGAATATCTTAAGAGAGGTTACACCAAAGATCCTCTGGTGGCATATGAAGAGTTATCGAGCGGTCGACATTTCCCGCATGCTCCAGTTGTTCCAAGGCATTATGAGCGTGGTTTCCTTCCCAACCAGATGTATCAGACCCCTACAGGCGGAGTTACGTACGGACATTATAAAAGGACACCGAAAGTAGATAAAATTATAAAGAAATAATAATTTTCAAGTCAATATTTAATGTTATTTCTTTTAGTTATGTTTAATGAATGCATGGTCTCTAGAATGTATGAACCGAACTGATGTGTCGAGCGTTTAACGTTATTAACACAGGTTAATTGTTATTTTAATTTAAGATATAATGTTATATTTTATGTGGAATGTAAATTTTACCCCGGCTCATTTTGTTAAAAACGTACTAATTCGTATGGTCAGTATTTTACCAGATTATATTATTGTTATTTATAATAAAAAAGTTGTTAATTAATAGTTTTTTTATTGTGTTCTAACCCGAGTCATTGGAGATATGCATACAAGTACATGGAAGTGTGCTAATTGTAGTTCTTAATTAACAGTAAGTACAATAAAATTAAATAATTTAATAAAATTTATATTAAAAAAGGTTCAGAAGTTTATAAGCAGGTCACTACGGATGATATTATAGTCCAGGAGGGATTTTGATATATGTTCAAAGCATTTAGAACGTTAGGGCAAATTCAGTAGTGGTAATTGAGGTAGTTATATCGATATAAGACTATCGAAGAATGTCTTTCTAAAGAGATAGATAGATAAGTATATAAACGTAAGTACCCAATAAAATATTTGGAGACAGGTTTAAACATATGATTTCAAAACGGGGAAATATCCCATCTACAAAATGTAACAGTCAGGTGACAGACGATTCTATATTATTAATCTATATACATGATTACGTATTTTAATATCAAGTAATTAAATATTAGATAACTTATTCAACTTTACTTAAGGAAGCGTATTTAGTGATTATTATATATTAAACGGTTATGTAAATATACTATAAGTACGTAAACTTAATTACACTCCGAGATCGTAAACCGTCTTCATATCCAATTAAACTTGTTTAAATGGGCCGTCAGTTTAATGGTAAATGCTCTTTTGTATATCATAAACTATTACGAAATTTTGAATAATATAAAACAGAGTACTTTGCTCTGAGTATCATCTTTTTTAGTTCAAGTGTGCTCGACATGAGACTTCATTACTGATCTATTCATTTATTAATGTCTTACTTTATTAAAAGGACTGTATTGACAGATTTAATAATAACATTGAATTTATTACATTTTTATATAAAAAAAGGAAAAAAATTATAGACAAAATGATATTAAATATTTGTTTATCATAAGTTACACACAATTACAAGTCTGAGTGTGATTTTGAAATTCTGCATCATCCTTCTCTTCTCAGTGTCAGATGCTACCATATTGAGCCGTGTAACAGTAACAAATAAAACTAAGCCTTACACTAAACAATCACTTGATTGACAAACGTGCATGGCAATAGTTGTTCATGCACGGATGCTTTATTTAATGTTAGACATAGACACCTACATAAGTGTACAACGTAAATAAACTGGCTTTTTAAAAAAAAAATATTCAGTTGACTTTCTTGTCAGTTCTTCTCAATTATATCTGTATACTGAACTAGATGGTAGGGAAAAATATCAATACAAAAAATTTTATGTTCATAAGCGGCTAAAATGTCCTACATTAATAAATTAATTATTTTTGATTTGATCAAACATAATTTAGGATTTATAATATTAGTCTGGAGAATATAATATCTGTGGCGCAATGTATGAACGCCAATGATTAGTATTTCTTTTTTAATTATGATAAAATAATAGGGATGTAATCGGGTCACATAGTACATTATTCGACAGCCTCGGTGGTCTGGCGCTTTCGCCCACTGCTTTATTTTCGATGGTAGAGGGTTCGATTGCTCCCACAATGCAAACATTTATATTCATAAGTATCATTGATTGTATGGTCTGGGTGTTTTCTAGGTACTTTATGTATGCATTTACAAAATAAATCTCAATCCATCAGTAACAGAATTGTCTTTGGTTATTATTATTACGACAATTCAAAATCATCAAAAAAATAATCATAATTATTAGGAGATGAATATCTATGGAACAGTCATGACATGTTATGGTGAAGACAAGTATATAATATGTATTTATTTATTTATAGCTTTAATACAAAATTGACAACAATACAATAACAAAATGTAATAGCTTCTTTTCGGACTACTATAATTACAGCTTCACCCAGCGGTATGAGGCGAGTGCAGATGGCACTACAAACCCGCAGAAAGAGTTATGGCGCAGCTGAAGACTCCTGCCTAACGGATACATTATTAGCTAAGTATTACAAAGTAATAGTATATTTGATAGACTTAATGTTGCGTTGATGTATATTACAGATGATAAAAAACTGACGATATTTACATAGAAATATTGATCTTATATACTAAATAACAATAGGAAAATGTAAGGTGGGGTGACACAGTTTAGACACAGCAGTACTTAGTAGACAATATTGATATTGTCTTACTAGGCATTAGTAAATGCAATTATTATTATGATGTATCTAGGTGACTGTGTCCCATACTTAACAACACATATAGTATGCTGTTTTTATCGCTGTTATAGTGACCATACGGACGAAATCGCTGCTAAGAGTTTAGTTGTAACGAATATCATAATACAATCATATCAGACTATTTGAAGCAACTATTATTTAAAACACATTTCACGCTATTTGGCGTTCGTTGGATATCAATTCATAAATTACGAATTTTATTCAATTGTATGCATCTAACTTACTGTATTTGGATTATTTAAGTATTTTTATTATACCATACTACCAAATATCAAAATTGAAAGGTCGTTAGTGTTCCTTGAACGCTATGAATGAGTATTCACGAACATAAACACTTATTACTTCCTTAAGATTTGTACTTAAGTACATGAATACATTTCACGATTTACATACCTACATACTAGCAATAATAAGCGAAGAAGGCAGTAGTTTCTCAATAAACATAACTTTCATGATATTATTGTAAAATATATATGTAGGATATATACCTACCTATAAAAGCAGTATCTATGTTTGGTTATGAAAATAGAATATTCATTTTTAAGTTAGGGTTTGACAGGTTTAATAGATTTAGTATAATTATACTGTATAGACGAAGTAATAAAAAAATATATATATCATAAAAAATAAATACCATAAAGTTCTATAATTTAATATCAAATACCAAAATAAAAAGAAAATATAATTGTTTATGGTTATTACTAATATAATGGAAATAAAATTAGAAATTTCTAAATACTATAATATAGCCAAAAAATTCCGACGTAAAAAGAGGGAAGTATGAAATGTGAAATGATGTAATCTCAAACTTATACAACTAGAGTTGTAGAGGCTATTCCCTGCACGCCTAAATGAAAGGTCCCTTCGATGGGAACTATGCCGGTGGTCTTGGAGAATGCATGTGCGATCCCGTGGCTGTGGCGATATGTTGGAGGAGGAATAGTCGTCAGGATTTTGGCCAGTAAAAATCCGGCTGTCCCCATTTGGCCCCAAACCCAGTGGGCCTCTACGAAAATTTTCCTGATGAAAAAAAATAGGGTTGCCAACCCCAAAAATATTGAAATAATGCAGGAGCCATTTCTATACTAAGATTCGGAGCTATAAATTTAGGTTCAGTTTAGTTAAGATCTATGTTGGTAAGGTTGAGCTTTAATTGAACTGTTTTCTTGAAATAAATTGAATTATTATTATTAAATATACCTATAAGTATCATATACATACACTAGAGACCTCTGTCTGTCGTAAACGGAACTATTATAATACATAGCTTGAACGTCCTTTCTCTTTAGTATTGCAGCGAGCAAACAGTAAGATTTACATAAAGCAATCTTGTTAGGTACGATTTAGTTATGGTTAAACATTATGTTACTAGAGGGCGCTAGTAAATTAAGAAAACTAAATATTTAATTACTAACAAAATGTTACACAAAAGTAAAATAAAAAATATCTTGTTTAATAATTGAAGAAAAAGAGAAAGTGAATTTCATAAGCTTGTGGAAGGCACACTAGAACACTGTTTCAAATGAAAAATAATACTTTTAAATGGGCACAGTGTTAGCTATGGTAAAGTTTAATTATTCTATTGTAACACATTGTTCTATATGGACATTTGTTATGTATGGGGCATGGTAAAAAATCATGATGATGGAATTGCTAAATTTCATCATCATCGCAGCCCGGAAGACGTCCACTGCTGGACATAGGCCTCCCCCAAAGATCTCCACGACGATCGGTCCTGCGCTGCTCGCATCCAATGCCTTCCAGCGATCTTGACCAGATCGTCGGTCCACCTTGCTGGAGGCCTTCCCACGCTGCGTCTTCCGTATTCTTCTTTCTTATCGTTTCTGAAATTAGCTTTTCTAGATATAATTCCTAAAGTTAATTCATAAATATATTTGATATAGGTATGTAGCGGTCATTATTGTGTCCAGAATCATGGTATAGTGCCAAATCGACTTCATAACTTAGATATGATATTATGCCTTAAGGCATGCCTTGTAGTTTTTAATAAGTAAAATCGCACACACGCTAGTCTTTGTGTAAACCATATCCTACCTAAGCGGGTTGATATTTTTGGAAAATAATGATTACAAGTATTTGTACTGTGCGAGGAATCGAACTCGCGACCAACGGCTACCACCCAGACTGTCGATTCATATTTTGTCGATAGGCATTACCAAACTTTAAAAAAAGAATCATTTTGTGATGTAACAGAGATACATACATATCATATATATATACTACATTAATTTGAGCAATTAGTTTTTTTTATGTTCACTTTCGTAGTGTTGCCAACAAATTGGTTGATAGATTTTATTTCCCGTTTGGTGATCAAAAAATATTTTCGAACCCTAATGAATTATGTATTGAGCTTCAAATTACAACAAAACAAATATTATAAATTAAAAATATTCCACTCAATATTAGTCCTCGATAGTTATTATCTGGAAATTTTAGTTTTGTTGCATAACTTTTCCGATACTGATCAGTTTTGTGGACTGGTCATTAACTTTGTATATCATTAAACTAAATAATACCTGAATTATTTTGGCACAATTTTCTAATATTATTTATTTAAATATAAGTATATTTTATATAAACAATGTTGCTTGCCCGGGGATTTGCGACTGAGAGCCTCCATTCCACCTCCTATTCTGCTCGTTGTGTTCATCATCCTGCTCGAAAGGAGACATGATAAAGGGACCGACTGTGCCACAACAGTCGCTATGTTGTGATAAAAATAATATTTCATTATAGTATAGGGGACAAATGATCTTG